TTCTTCATGTCAGTATATAGATTGATATTAGAAGCAGCTAAACTTGCATATTAGGGATTCCTGTCTTGTCAGTCCACCCCAATTTCCCATAAGATGCCGTTTATTTGGAAAACCCCAGTTCATCGGCTGTATAATTAAGCCCATTTGAGCAAAGGATGACACTTTTAGACCCTAATAGGGGTCAAAAGAAACAGACCAGCAACAAAATTTCAGTTTGTATCAAAACCAGCCTTATAACTAATATTTTAATAAACAGAAAATATGACAGATGTGTATAAAGTGGTACTTTCAGGTAAAACTGATTTTCCGATAAGTTCAAATAGGTAATTTACTGTTACGACAGCGAAAGTCACGCGACGCTGGAAGCATGCTCGCTGGAGTTTCTAGAAGGATCATGACTGTTCCTGGCCACTCTAGTCTATTTTTGTATATCAGCCCGGCAAATAAAGCAGAGAAAGACTGCAGATAGATAGATATAGAGACAGATAATTAAGTAAAGCGAGCGATAGTGACCGTAAGTAAAGTGCGTGAATCGTTGTGAATTATAGCGTGTGTTTAAATGAAAGTGACGGTGGAAATTCTGTGTATTGCAAAGTTGTATTGAGAAAGAATAAACTAGTTTTATTTAAGAAAAGACTTGTATCGCTGAAGTTCCTCGTGAAGAATTTATACCGGAAATTAACAAACGACCAGAGACGTAACAAATTGGTGTCAGAGAGTGGGATAAAAAAAGAAGAAGATGGAAACGAGAGGTGGCAAATCAAACTACAGCTTAGCAGATTTGATGGCAGCAATACAAAAACAGCAAAAGAAACACGAAGAATGAGAAAAAAAAACAAGAAGAACGAGAAAAGAAACAAGAAGAGCGAGTACAGCAGTTGTTGGAGGAAAATAAAAGAAACAAGAAGAACGAGAAAAGAAACAAGAAGAGAGACAAAAGCAGTGACAAGAAAACTTGCAACAGTGGCAGCTCGAACAGCAAAATAAACAAGAGCGAGTACAGCAGTTGTTGTAGGAAAAAGAAAAGAAACAAGAAGAACGAGATAAGAAACAAGAAGAGAGATTACAGCAGTGGTTGGAGGATAAAGAAGAGAAACGAGAAGAGAGATTACAGCAGTTGTTGTAGGAAAAAGAAAGAAAACAAGAAGAACGAGAAAATAAACAAGAAGAGAGACTACAGCAGTGGCAACTGGAACAAGAAAGGAAACAGGAAGAAAGTCTTCAACAGTTGTGGGAATGTCAGCAGCAACTACAGGAAGTCAACAACAGTGGCAAAAAGTACAAATGGAAAACATTAATGAATTTCAAAGTGAATTAAATACATTAAAGATGATTTACTGTCTTTTACACAAGGATGATATA